AATTTAAATAGACAATGTTTCCAAAATTGTCTAACTGTTGATTGGAATCTATAAAGTTTCTATTCGTAATGTTTCCACCCATAAATCCGTGATACAAAAATCCATAAAGTTTCTTGCATTGAAATGGCATGACTGAGCAGCGTCGACGATATTGACATGGTTACATTAGGAAACATGGGATTTCGCGCTGTGTTCGAAGCGAAGTGTGGGTGGTAGGCGGCGTGATGAAATTGATATCGTTTTTAATACATTCGCTGTCGGTTGCAGGCTATTGTGTTACGGCTGAATAACGGCATTATAGATTTGCGGTGCGCCTCTTTCCCACGACTGTCTCACCGCTTCCGGCATGCCGTCTACGTACCGGTGATAGTACTCTATCAGAATTCATAGCTATAAATATCGTTCGCCCATGACGCTTCAGCGGGACATTTTTTCAACGAGATAACAGTACCAACTGCATTCCTCTTATTCAGCTTCGTTAATTGATACGAGCGAAGTGATAACGTTTGCAATAATTAAGAAACAATTATCATTCCTTGCAACAAGTTCTCACGTGATGCACGTAAAATGCTCCGCATACCTTGATGCCTGACTTATTCTTAGAAATAATCACAGATATCAGGAAACGGAATACCAGGATTAAACTACTGCAGCATTATAGATTATCTGTGACGTTCATTAATGACGTTAAGCGAGACATTAGTTTTATGCTACGATCTTTTAAGCTGAGATTTATATTGACTTTGGATCAAGCGTTGTCGTTGCATAATGCTACTAAGGTATTCGAGAAAATCCATCGACTTCCAAGAATAGGTATTACTAGATACTTCTAAACTTGTTTACTCAGTCCTATACAAACAGAATAATTATAGCTTATTATATCCAATTTTTTTATATCTCACGTTTTATTATAAACCGACCTAAATGTCGAAGTCTAGTATATATTTAAATTCAAATTTGTACCCATTCTGTTGCTATAAATGCTCCATTCACAACGTGTCAGTGTGTTCCTACTTATTTACAAGTCGCACGTCACTATAACTCATTCATTATTCACATGTTCATTTTTTGTTACAACGGCGATCACAAGTAGTCAAAGAATCGTTCTCAATTCGTAATTAGAATAAAGTGATCTATTCAGCTTGCCTTTGAAGATGTTACAGTATATTATTTATCGTATTGTTTCTATACTAAACGTCTGCTACACTAGAATGTACTTTCTATCTGGAAATTTGCCAGCAACTTGTAACTGGGCCGTACAAATCGTTATGAAGATTGTCGTGAAATTTGTTGTCACGTTTTCTTTCGTTTCGCCGGTCATAAATCAGCAATTGTTTAACGAAAGCATGAGAAAAATCTTAGATTGTTTATCGAGGGGAACGTGACTTCGATTATTTCATGAAACTACGACTGTGCCAATAAGTGGTCGTACGTGCTATAAAACATTTTACGTTGTTTATGGTTTGGATTTGCACACAATAGTTGGTATATTTCCTCATTTACTACTATTCCTTTTTATTCGTACTTTCCTCATTCGATATGCGATCTCGAACATTATTTTTAAACATCGCTCGTTGTGTCACGCTTACGTTATAGTAATATGTTACGTAATAGATACAGGAAATATTACGGGCATTCCAAATTTAAGTGCCCCTTCAATTAACCCACATTTTATAAGAGCGGCTGTCGGGTACGCTACGAAATACAAACTAGAAGATATTCTTTAAGAACTTCTACCAGTACTGAACTTAATAAGTTACGCCACATAATCATGCATAATTAAGATACAAGGAGCGCAATTTGAATGTACAGCGATGATAATGAAGCGGGGAAATTTTCATAAAATTATATATACAGAGCGAGTCAACAAAAAATATCATACAGTGACCTATTTAATGATTTTATTAAAGCAGACTGTGTATGAATCCATTATATGAAATCATTAAATCAATCATGTTATGAAATGTATTCCCGTCATGCCTTATAATGAAATCAATGAGCAATGGATTATTTTAGATATTTCTTACTCATCCTATATGCCAGTGGTTCTGCAAAAATGGTCATTTGCTAAACTGCTATGTCAGCGCAGAACTGTAGCCACCGTGCGATAAAAAATCGTGTTTCAGTTGTACGATATTCGGGTGCTGACGTCAGTCATAATTTACCTCCGAATCTGAACCGCGCGTTGTGTGACCCACCTTCCTGTAACCTTAATTACCTTTGATCGGCGGCGATTCGCGATTCTCACGTAATTTAATACCGCGAATAAAAGTATGCCAGTTAGCCACTTTCCTCGATAGTCAGGTACCAATCAACAACAGTGAATCGCTACTTTTCACTCGAGTGATTTGATTTGCCAATGGTTCTGTCTTTTAAGAATATATCATCGATGTATATAATAACATGAACGAACAATATCTTCATTCTTTTGCAATACGGATAGGTTTTACGTAACTGTGAATAACGTAATGAGGATTGAAATTTCCATGGAATTATGATTGCCGTTTGTCTCTGTTTCAGGTCACATATTCTGCGGATCTCGCTATTGAGATACCAGGCAACTTGAGCCAAGGTGGCTCCTGGTACCGTTTAGATTACAGCCCTGCTGTTGGTTATCCACCACCTAATACGACTATAGCCGCTACCGACATCGGTGACGTTATCAAGTTCAGGGACGGGCTTCCTGGCACTAGATACGAATTTTGGTTGTACTATAGCAATAGTACGCTTCACGACTGGCTGACATGGACCGCGTCTATAACTACAGGTACGTTTATTACTTTACCTACGGGAGTCACATTAATGTCTGCAGTATAATTTTTTGATATCTTAATCATAAATTCAATGATTTATATTTTTCATCTATTTTTACTCCAACAAGAAAGTTTATGTTTACACTTTCAAATCTGTATCTGTGATACCTCTAATTAAATACACTGCAAGACAATAAAAATGCAATGAATCGCATTGTCAACCACGTTCTTGGCTCACCGATGCACCGCATAGAAAATTACTTCGAATAAGCCGCGGGGACAGCAGGCATTCAACGGAACTGAATGCCCTCGTTCGTTTTACAGCCCCAGATCCGCCCTCGAACCTAACTGTCTCCGTGCGAAATGGAAAGACCGCGGTAGTTTATTGGGCGCCGCCAGCCCAGGGCAATTACTCTGCGTTCCGGTTGAGGGTGCAAAGTTTCAGCGATACCGGAAACCCGAAGACAAGCATCATCCCCGTGGACGCGGTACCCTACGTGCTACGCGATCTCATCCCCGGGGCGACTTATTCCCTTCAACTTTTCACCGTGTTGGACGCCAAAGAAAGCGTCGCCTACACCAGCAGGAATTTCACCACCAGTAAGTGAATCGAACAATAATTCGTTACTCTCTGATTACATGAAATTGCAAATTCATTTATATAATTAAAAAATTACAAATATCACTCGTATAATAATGATCAAATTTTACTACAGAGTTCTGGATACCATATATCGTATTTATTAAATTGTTAGCAAATGTCGATTAATGAGAAACAATGTCAACTGGATAAGAGATAGTCTTAGTCTGGATATTATCTTAGTGTGGATCTAGCGAATCGTTTTTATTTTTTCAGAACCGAACACCCCAGGGAAGTTCATTGTATGGTTTAGGAACGAAACTACCTTATTGGTTCTCTGGCAGCCGCCCTACCCTGCCGGGATTTACACCCATTACAAAGTTAGTATAGATCCCCCTGATGCCATAGAATCTGTTCTTTACGTGGAAAAGGAAGGGGAGCCTCCTGGCCCGGCACAGGCTGCTTTCAAAGGACTCGTACCTGGTAAGCAACACGCTTTCGAAAAATAGATCAATAGTAACCAACGCTGAGTATAACATTCTGCAAAAATATTTATGCATTAATTTTCACTATTTGTTGCTATCAATAAATCACAGGTTCCTTTAATTAAAATCTATGAACACGTCCGTCCGTTCTACTAGTTAATTCCGTCAGTGTTATCAAAGTTGCCACCTGAATCTTTCTGATCACCGCAGGGAGAGCGTACAATATTTCCGTGCAAACGGTGTCCGAGGACGAGACTTCAACCCCGACGACGGCCCAGTATCGAACGGTACCGTTGCGTCCCTTGAACGTCACGTTCGACAAGTCCTCGATAACATCCACTTCGTTCCGTGTCTACTGGAATCCTCCCGAAGCAATGTCCGAGTTCGATAAGTATCAAATATCCTTGGGTGGTAACAGGAGATTGGCGCCGGTCACCAGGAACAGGGACGACGACAGTAAATGGGAGTTCAAAGATTTAGAACCGGGAAAGACTTACCAAGTGGTCGTGAAAACGGTCTCGGGCAAAGTCACCAGTTGGCCGGCTAACGGAGACGTTACTTTAAGTGAGTTCTATATTACGTTGCCGATTTTTATTTCTATTTGCGTCGCTTATGTGAGAACCGTTCGACGAATTTATTTTATATTTGCACTTAGAACCGTTACCTGTGCGCGATCTTCGCGCTGTCATCGACGAGAAAACCGGGATGGTCGAAGTTTCTTGGCGCCCTGAGAATTCGAGTACTCAGAATTCTTACAAGCTTCAGTATCATGAGGTGGAAACTACAATTGGCGGTGACAGCAACACTTTAACAACCGAAAATACTAAGGTATGTATTCAGATTTATTAATTAAATATATGTATAGCTTTTACGTAATTTCATCATTTCAATTTAGTGTCAACTATATATATTTTTAAATTACTATGTTCTGTTTCCAGGTGACGTTGGAAGCTTTGTTACCAGGCAGGAATTATTCTATAATCGTCCAGGCGATCAGTAACAAGGTCGAATCGAACGAGACCATTTTATATCAAGTCACGCGACCCTCCAGCCCGATAATCGAGGATCTGAAGCCGACTGAAATGGGTTTGAACATCTCTTGGAAGAGCGATGTCAACTCGAGACAGGAGAAGTTTGAAGTAACGCACAATAGGAATGATACTGGGGAGAGTGCAACCACGTTAACCACGGAATCCCACATCGTTCTGGAGGACCTTTATCCTGGTGCAGCGTACGAAGTTAAAGTTTTTGCAATTAGCCACGGCCTGAGGAGCGAACCTCATGACTACCTTCAAGCCGTTTGTAAGTACAGAAACATGTCATTGTTCGATCGAATTGTAAAAAATAAAAATCGACCATTTGAGACAATCAATAATTTATTGATAAATATTGATCACTTTATTAAAAAATGCCTCTTATCAATTTTTTATTTCAATCATATCAATGAAAGCTAACGAAAGTTCTGGATTTATTATTGTTCAATTGCAGTACCGCACCCACCAAAGAATTTGAGTATTGAGAAGGTGACAAGCAACACAGTCGTTGTTCATTGGGAGGCGCCGATAGACTCTCTGTACTCCGAATTTTCGATACGCTACCGAACAGAAGACGACCCTAGATGGGTGAAATTGCCGAGTGTTCGTGAAACAGAAGCTGAAGTAGCGGACATGACGCCAGGAGAAAAGTACACGATTCAGGTGAACACTGTAAGTTACGGAGTCGAGAGTCTGCACCCACTGCAAGTGAATCATACAGTTAGTAAGTAAACGAAGAAAATGTATCATAGATCCGATTTCCAATTTTTAATTCTATATGAAACCATATTTGTATGAAATTATTCAGGGCCAAATCCAGTATTGAACGTCTCTCCCATCATCGATTCGACGAACGTGACGCTGGAATGGCCGAGGCCAGAGGGCAGAATCGAGACGTACGTGATAAGGTGGTGGCCAGTTGACAATCCTGAGGATATTCGCACGAAGAACGTGACGGAGAGCAACGACGTGACCAGCGTTCTTTTCGAAGAGAACGCGGTGCAAAGGGTATTCGTTAGCGATCTGATGCCTGGGGTACAATACTTTTTCTTGATCTACACGGTCTCCTATAATTTAGTCAGCGACGTCTCGAATCTGACGACAAGAACGAGTGAGTACTTGTACATTATGTTTCGACTAATGGCTACGTTTCTCTTTTTGGATTTTCATTCATTGCGAATACTAACAATAAGTACGAAACATTTAAATAGCATCATCTACGATTATCTAATTTACTAATTGTGTGTTGCGTAGTACGACTAAATTTTATGCATTTATAGCACATATTATGCATACATTTTACAATTAATTTAATATGGACTAGACCAGACTACGTTTAAATCAAAGAATCAGTCATTTATTATATAGTAATCATAAGTAAATCGTTTGGAGAAAGAGAAACGTGATTAAAATTATGAGAGAGAAGAGAGGAGATGGGGTCCGAAAAAGAAACGAGTTTTTCGCTCGGATTTAGTGCCGCTGATCCAATCGGAAGTGGTCGTGGTGGTCGATCAGCACCAGCCAGACTCGTTGACGTTAAGGTACACCCGGACGCCGATACAGTCGTCGAAGTTCGACCTGTATCGATTCCGGATCAGCGACAAGATGAACACGACGAAAGAGAAGATGGTCGACGACGTCGATACTAAGGTGACGTTTACCGGTTTGACGCCTGGTAAATTATACAACGTGACCGTGTGGACTGTCAGCGATAGCGTCGAGAGCAGACCCCTGCTCAGGCAAGACCGTCTCTGTAAGTATCTTGCATCAGGATGCTATTCACAGTCATTTACAAACGATTTGAACAGAAATACAAACTCGAATTTTTAGTTAATGAGTAATTCTGATTTAATGCTAAATAAATAAAAAATAAATTCAATAAAAATTGATTTAGAAATTTAAATATGAAACTCGATTCAAGAAAATGGTTAATATATTTCGATTAGTGGATCGATGTTATTTTTAATTCCACTTTGCATTATAGGAGGAAGAGATTTGATATTAATTTCGTGTATTAGGTACGTTTTTCCATTAAACACAAATGAGTGACTTTACGCGATTAACAATATGTGAGAGTTTTAATTATCATGACGGAAAGTACAGTGTCCGTGCTTCAATCCTCGTGTGCTACGTGTTAATGCTTGCTAAAGTACACCGAGACAGTACGAATTCATTGAAATCCCACTAAAAACGTGGTTTATTATCTTTAAAGTCCCATTTAATGACAGTGTTCAAGATCTTTT